AGCTGCATCGATCAGTTTATTGCTGAAATCCCAGAGTTTCTTGGCTAAAGCTTCATCTGTTGCCAACCTGCTTGGCTTAAACTCGTTGCAGTCCATGAAATATTTTCCCGACACACCTTTTAACTTAGGGTGAAGTGCAACATAGCAAGTCGTGGCCGCCCCCTAAAGAATGCCATATTAGAAGAGAGTTAACGTGATACTTTCGTGACTGCAAAACATATCTTTCAGTTCATTCAACGACATGGACTTAATAATGTAACCAATAGGATCTATGTAGCCAACCTTAAATTCATTCTAAATAAGATTTCCTAACCCTTAAATTTATTTACCTGAGGGACATTCTTCCATAGGATACAAGTGAAGAATTTCAGAATTCCTGTGAGAAATCTTAATTAGTAAATAAAGAATAGAAGAAATAAGTAAAGAAAAGATGATATAATTTGAGTAATGTTATTCATAGTCAGCAACTGCACTAGTCGTTTCATGTGATATCTTGTTATTTCAGACATTAACTTGTTATTTGAGACAACAGAACTATAGGAAATTAATGCCTCGTATAAAAGGTTCCATATGGGATGAGTGCTGTAGTCGCTGACTATGAATAGCATTACTCAAATAATTTTGTGTGTTTTGGGTTTTGGGATCATACTCATTGAAATAGCAGAATGTTTGAAGAGATTTGTCATTATCAACCCTGGATGCACTGTGTTGACAGTAATATTTACTCCCTCAGCCTGATTCCAAATACACATGATAGATTATATTTAAAACACTTAAAAGGAAAAAAATAAAATGAATCAGAAATGGAATCATCATAGAACTTCAAAAGCAAGTATATCAGTGATAGAATACATAAATGGCACTGAAGTAGCTATATACCTGCAAACGTCGAGCGAGCTCGTTGGCATGTAATATGTTTGCTAATTTGGATTGTCCATATGCTTTCTTGTCTGAATAACTGATATGACACAAGAATAATGAAACAAACAGATTGTGCAAGAACATGTTTGTTACGCATTATATGATAAGACCAGACATGTTTAAAGAAAAAAGAAGACGTTAAAATTTTTTATTTGTTATATTGTCCGGTCCTCATCTGGCGCTGCTGATGGAACGTGAGTGGCAACGACAATTTACCTGGTCTTTTCATTAATCCTCTCGAATCGAATCCCTTTGTTATAGGTATAGATGTGTGCTACCGATGACAAATTTACAATTCTACCCTCAATGCCAGTAGACTTTGCTGTTTCTTTCATTTTGTCAAGGAGAAGGCTAGTCAAGTAGAAATGACCTGATAACAAATTCATTCACGCAAGAATCGATCGTTAGAAAAGGAATCCATGTTTAACAGCGTGACAATAATCTATGATTTCTGCGAAGTTTAATTGCATACCGATATGATTTGTTGCAAATTGCATCTCTATTCCATCTTCAGAGAGCTGGTAGGGAGAGAACATGATTCCAGCATTGTTTCTGAATACCAATTTCTTCTATTTAATTACTAATACTGGAAAATATTCTTACATATCGCAATAAAGCGGTTTGTGGTACTGTTTTTGGCGTTCGTGTAGAATCGTAACTGAGAGAGTTAGATGGAGTAACTTACATTACGATGTTGAGAGGAAGGTTAAGAGAAATGAAGTGATCAGCAAAAGCCTTGACAGATTTAAGAGAGGCAAGATTGAGTTTAAAAATGTCGATTCGAGCATTATTATTATCCTTTAGAATGAGTTGTTTAGCTTCATTTGCAGCCTCCATGTTTCTTGCACCAATAATCACATGTGCATTCCTTTGAGCCAAAATTCTTGATGTCTCCAACCCTATTCCACTTGCACCACCTGCAATCAAAATATATTATTGCATCAATTCTCTGACCTGTTGAAGCACATCTCACGATTTACCTCTCTCACAAAATTCTAGGGGCGGGGCGGTGGAGGTTTTCAAGGTTGGGGTTCAACCTTTATATTATTGCATCAATTCAAAAATTGGAGGCTCAAACTCAAACCAAACTTCTGAATTAAACCCAATAGTCTTCAAAATGCTCTTCAGCATGCAGTAAGTATATAAGAATATCTGACCTGTAATGATGACAGTAAGAGAAGTTGCATCAATCCCTTGTGTGACTTGTTCAGCAGTTGAAGCTGATCCAAAACCAGTTGGACCTGGAATTCCTGTTATCAACCTAAACATCTTCTTCTTTGCTAAAATCTGGATTAACTTTTTTCTCTTCAGAAATAGATATTATATATAAATGAAGAGATAATGTGATCAACTTAACTCAACCTAATGAAAAGAGAAGGCTGCCACAATAAATATAAGCGAAGAAAGGAGATGACAGATGAGAAGTATGAATGACATAAAAAAGCAGGCCGTGATCAGTATGGATGGAAATGAAAGCAGATAGATATGAATATGACTATTTTTGGAGGAAGTATTATGTATTGTACGTATTTTCTTTCTTGTTCAATTAATGGCAGTAGGTGCCGAGCTGTAAATACACCTACGCTACGCTTACCCACCCAATCTTCAACTGTCAACATTTTTAATGGTAAAAGTAATTATGTGTGAGCTTCATCAACATGATATACATTTCTAGTTAATATTTTGTCAATTTTGCTAGAGGTACAGGATTTTTACATAGGATTTTGTACAGGTACACACGCCTCAAAGCGTTGAAATAGGGATGGCAATGGATCGAGTCGAGCCGGCTCAGCCCTTTATTCCACGAGCTCGGCTCGAGCTCGAGCTCGTAGCAAGCTGTTTAACGA